GTTAACACGCGTGGTTCAGACAATAGCTCGACCCTTGAGAATATGGCATCCTGGAGTGTACAAAGAAAGCTGCGCAACACCCAGGAGTTGAAGTATGCCTGATGCTCGGGAAATCCTGGAGGCGTCTTAAGGTAGAGTCCGAGACCAGAGAACTCCTTCCTTTCCAGCAGCTGTTCTGAAAACACAGAAAGTGCTAGATTCAGAATAGCAGTTATTAAAGGATGGTCGGTTGTGCCTTTGCTGTCAATTCTCACGTGAGAGAAAACACGACGGATGCGAAGAGAGGACGGGATATGCTTCCCTCGATCAGAGGTGACTAAAATGAAAGATGAACCACGTCTTAAAGGTCCACCACTATCATCATGGTTTCCAGGCTGTTCAACAGTCGTTGTTTGTAGTTCAGATGTCCTTCTTGATCGTGGCCGATACACCAAATTGTGATCATCAAACGCTAGACCACCCGTACGAGACTGAGAGTTCATTTCAAAATTCGGGCTCACGGAATCGGAGCCGATAACAACGGGGAAAAGGATAGAAACCAGGCTTTGGACGTATTCAGGACGTGCTGCAAATTCACGATAGCTTTGTGACTTTATCTGCGCTACAGCAAAAAAATCAACAACGGCGGTTAAAAGCGACAGTTGTGCACCCGTAGTACCGACAGGTGCGCAAGATGACATAGATGGCTTGGTAAGGTGAGCGAGGCGATCCTGGAGAGCATCGGGGTCCTGCGCATTCGCCACTGAGAACTCTTCAGCGAATACTGTTTGCTTCAGTCCAGACTGCAACATGTCGGAGATGATTGGGAGCATCTCAGGATAGACAACTTGGGCTTCGCCGTTGAGGCAGAAGAGCTCGGAAAGAGAAAGCTGATCGAATGTTTTATCAACGTTGACCTTGCCAATATCAACACCAAATAGTATAGCAAAGCAGATAGGCCACATTATCGGGATACTCCACCATTTCTTTAAACAATGTCGCATTATAATATAACCCCCAGTCCTATCGTTGAACTTCTTGCTGTAGCTACCTCCGTGAATTACGATCAAACGAGCCATGATCTTTGTTGCCAAAATAACAATTTCGGGTTCGTCCTCACACATGAGGTACAAAAGCCACTGCATAATAGTCAACACTCGTTACATAATGGGTGGCATTTACTCTACAAACCTTGTTTGTAACGGCCTTAGCGAACCTCTTGGTTGGGCCGAGATCATGTGCATTGCATAGAAGAGAGCAATACATCCTAAGCATCTCTATCGCTATTGTAGTGCTTGAAATGTACTTCATATCGGGATTGGGCGTGGGCTGCCTTGCAGCAGCATTGAATCGGAGGCTCTTCTTTTTCTGTAACCTGCTCGGCTCCTTTGGCTTATGGATACCATAGGTGATGAAGAGCGCTAGAAAACGGAGCAAATCTGCTGACAGGCAGCCCTCCATCAACGATCCAAAAGCCGAAGTGAACAGTCGCAGTCCTTCCATCGTAAATTCTTCCCCCTTAAGAGCCTCAAGTAGCTTTTTGTTGACACCTGTTTTCCATTAGTATGGAAGTGTAAAACATGCGACGACCAATGAGTCACAGGGAAGACTTACGCATGCGGGCGAGGCGCTTTGCATTAAACCGACGAAACTTGCTTTCACTGGCAAATATGCAGTATTGGGAATAATACAACTCAATAAGAGACATTTCGCCATATCTCCAAACCTCCAGGTCCACGAGCAAGACTCTGTATGCTAGTGGGTTTGTGATGATAGAGCGATTCGGTTGATCAAAATCATAGCCGACGAAGTTAAGGGTCAAACGAAGTAGTTCGAATGCCAATGTAGATCGTTCTTCATATGTGGAGCAGACGTTGGAGGTCTTCGAGCCCGTAGAGACACCTGTTATCGGCCATGCGAGCTTTTCGCGTAACAAGGCCGCAAGGATTCCATAACCATTCTCCTTTTCCATTGCTTCGCTATTTCGCCAATTGTCCTGTACAGCCTCATACAGCGCTTCGACCGCTAGAAGTGTAGATTCAGCACTTCTGGCCGCATGGACCAAGCTCAAATGAACCGCCGCACAGCCGCCAATACGCCAGCTCGCGTCATCCAAGGCTTGTGGTATCGCGACTACAGGGTCCCCCGTTAATATACCGATACCATGGGCCTGAGTTAAAGCATCATTGATAGCAGGGGTACCGCCATTGACCGCTACTGCATTTCCTCCAGACTTTGTTAGCTGATGCAGATTTTTGGCTGCTTGTTTCGAAAGATACTTGACGAGTCTGGTTTCATCAATGTTGTTACTATCATCGTCATCTAGAACGGATAGTGGAGAAACATTAACTGCTATACACTCTTCACGAATAAGAGTGCTTGCCTTTCGCCGGATAGCAGTAACAATGTCCGATGACTCCTCTTTACCAGCATGCATATGCTCGTTACGTAGATTCAAGGCCGCGGAGGCTTTATACGTCTGGAAGGAACCTAAACAGTCCTGAAAGTTGCCGTAGTAACGTGGACCGAGATTGTAAAACACGGCAATCATGTCGTCGCTATATGCTTCTTCAAATAGAATTGCATTAGCTAGGGACCATCGAGAGGTAGAGATCCCCTTGCCAAGCCTCATAGCTAGATCTTGCGGAGTCCCAAAAAACGATTGAACTCTAGGCGGCCTATTGGGAGCGCTGGGGGTTGGCATGCATGGATAATCAATCCGCAACTGTTCAACAAATTCCCCATCTATGAAAAGAGACGCTCGAGAATATGACGGTGGCCTGGGCTTTTTATGAACCACACAGATATGGTACCACCGGTTCGGCTCGAAACTTATAGACTTGAATCGAACGCTAGGACGAGATCCCCTGATTGAGGTCTGCAATATAAAGTTACGAGTATCCTTTTCAAGATACGCGAGCAAGAAGCAAGTTTGGCTGGCATCAAAGGCCCCAAAAATCGTCGTGTGAGTATTCTTGTCAAACTGGTCAAAGCGTGCCCAGACCGCTAAAGTATAACCAGAAGTAGCTGCAGGTGGGAATGAGCGACCCATGGTTGATAACTCTAAAGAGCAGTATCCATGCAATGATAAATCGAACTGTATCGAGGGAGGTTCCTTTGAGCACTTCAGAACATCAACAAGGAACCGAAGAAGCTTCGGGCAATCATGAGCTTGTCGGTATAAAGCAGCCACATCATTCAAGTTACTTATACCCAGAGTACAAAGCATCTTTGCCAGTTCTTGATAGAGTTGCCTCTCGGGTGCCGGGCGCTCCTCGCTGAACAAAAGCGGCAGAATCAGTGTTATAGTGCCAGTGGAATGCAACGTCGTGATATTCCTCTGGGACTGTGCGGCGAGTTGGACTAGACATGCCGGCACGGCTAGTCTCTGGACTCTGTGCTCGGATCTGGAGGCAGACGACTGGGTAAGCCATACTCGGACAAATGGGCCCAGGAGCTCTGGCACTTCGACTGTTTCTGATTTTCCTACGCATCGGTCCACTTCTTCTCTAATGCCATCCAAAGATAGCTCCTCGGCAGTTTGGAATTTAGTACTCAGGGTTGTGAATATACTGGCAACTGTCTCCTGGCAAAGGGCCGCTGCTAAGATGGCACCGTAAAATTGCTCCGTATCACCTTGGTTGGAGTCTACTTTCCTAGCCAGGGTCGTCAAAGCTTCTTCCAATGCCACTTCTCCTCCCCCAGCGATCCGGTTCGCGAAATACCGTTTGTTCCCGACATGATCCCTTAAGCTCTCAGCTAGGACTGCTAACGCATCTTTGTACACGGAAAGCAGATCCTTCCTCTCGTCCTTGGATGACGCATGCGAATCATAACATTGTGAAATCTTTCGGAGAAGGTCTAACAGGGTCTGAAAACCATGTAGGTGTCGGAAGGTCTCCTTCGCCTCTCTTGGGTGCTCGTTATCGATGAATGTGTGACGAAGGCGAAGCAAACATTCGGTTGCCGTGGAGGCGACTTGGGACGTTACTATATCCTCTCCGCAAGTAACTTTCAGCTTATCAAGGACAGGACTTAATTCGGGGGCAGCCGGCCGTTGGGTTGATGAGGACGGGGACCGCAAGAGGGCGGAAGTGGACCGGCTCATTGCGCCGCTGAAGCTTATCCCCGACTACCTATTCGATGGCCAGAGACCATCAGACACCATGAACCAGCACTTAGCGTAACGACGAAGGCGGTCTGCATTGGTATGCGTTATGGTAGCTAGTAGTGAATGCAATCCACACAGTTACCCAACATGGCACAGCCGTAGGGAGGGAGGGAAACGGAAGGGAGAGCTGACGAGTCAGACGATCAACAATTGCACTACTCTAGGAATGGGGCCGAGGCCGATTGTGTCAAATTCAGTATTAGGAATGAAGGTTATCCTGGTCAAGGTCGGAGTTGTGAGTCGAGAGCAATAATTGCCTCTACACCCTCAGGATGGTTCCTGAATGTGATAGACGGTCTTATGCCAACGTCACTGGAGGCAGTGCCGTTAAGCGGGGGCACATCGGGAGCATGGGTGCATTTTCCAGCTCTCAGACCTAATGATTATCAGGTGACAAAAGCCTCCGACTGTCGGCGGTCCATCATTGGTGGAGAGATAAGTATCGATAAGGGAAGGTATGTCTTATCTCCCGCAACGCCCGACCGCCTGTATTGTACGAGGTGGTAATGCACTTATGGTCTTCCGCGGTTTCCGTACGATCGGCTTCTTGTCAAAGTCAGGCGAACAACGGAAGATGGGCGTGCTCCCATGGCACGCGACTCGGGTTGCCCGGGAAGGTGTGGTTGGTCGTGGCGACCAGTCGTCAACGCCATTGACCTAACATGCCAACTCTTTTCGTTTCAGGAACCTAATCAGCAGTACCACTTTGCGGAGTTGGTCAGGCACTGTACCTGCAGTACCTCGATGGCAACAGGATTTTAGGATTTATTCTCAAAAAACTACCATAGGATAATACTACCTATCGTTCAAGGATGACTTTCGGCTTTGTTGGGAGGGATGTTTCCCCCTGCTAGGCACATATATATGCATAGTATACCCATATAAAGTACGACTATGGCGGCTCAGCCGAACGAATCAACTTAGGCAGTTACTCCAGAATGGGTACCTTGTTCATCGTTGACTCACCACTCGAGCTATCCTTGGAAGTGCTCCAAAACATACTTGCAGAATACAGGGTGGAGACTCCACTCATTCGCCTCATTTTTCGACACCGTTGTGCCTTCGTCCGCCGATGGCGTCCATCCATGGAACCTGAGCGCTATTTACCGGGGGCGACTAATCACTCCGAAAGGTCCCTTTTTGGGGATCCATCATCCATACCCTCTTACCGCCATACCCCAGGTCTTTGCGACCGCGCTAATCGGGAGAGATCGACGCGCGGCACCTCCTCAGTAGGTAAACCTGTGTCATCAGTGTAAATTACCGTATCCCGGTTGCATCATCCTCCGCTGCCCTTGCCTGCTTGGAGGATCGACCTATTAAGCCCCAGCTGCTGCTATCTTACACCTACTCCCATCCTCCTCCTCTTCCTCTTCTCCAACTCCTCAGCCATCCATCCTTCTTCCTTTTTAAACTCACCCCCTCCCAACTCAGCATCGATCCATCCTTTCATCTTTTCTTTCTTTTATCTTCATCACCATTTGTATTCTTTCCTCTTAGAACCCTCCCTTCCCCCCCCTCTTCTGTACGTTGTGCTAGACATCGCTCCTGTTGCCCATCATGAGAGGCATCCTCAGCCTTTCCCTGCTGCCACTCCTGGCAGCGGCCTCCCCCGTTGCCGTTGACTCCATCCACAACGGAGCGGCCCCCATTCTTTCGGCCTCAAATGCCAAAGAAGTTCCAAACTCTTACATCGTCGTCTTCAAGAAGCATGTCTCCTCGGAAACGGCTGCTGCTCATCACACCTGGGTGCAGGACATCCACGACTCGATGACTGGACGCATCGACTTGAAGAAGCGCTCTCTTTTCGGTTTCAGTGATGACCTTTACCTGGGTCTCAAGAACACCTTCGATATCGCTGGGTCCCTGGTGGGCTACTCTGGACATTTCCATGAGGATGTGATCGAGCAGGTCCGGAGACATCCTGATGTAGGTTTCCCCCCTCAACCTAGCCGTTTTTGGAAGAGTTATTGATCTGACTTTGTTTTGAAGGTTGAATACATCGAGAAAGACACCGAAGTCCACACCATGGAGGAGACAACCGAGAAGAATGCTCCTTGGGGCTTGGCTCGTATCTCCCACCGTGACAGCCTCTCGTTTGGCACCTTCAACAAGTACCTGTATGCGTCGGAAGGCGGTGAGGGTGTCGATGCTTATACTATTGACACTGGTATCAACATCGGGCATGTCGATTTCGAGGGTCGTGCCCATTGGGGAAAGACCATCCCTAGCAATGATGAGGATGAGGATGGCAATGGACACGGAACTCACTGCTCTGGAACCATCGCTGGTAGTAAGTACGGTGTTGCCAAGAAGGCCAACATCTATGCCGTCAAGGTCTTGAGGTCCAGCGGTTCTGGCACTATGTCCGATGTCGTTCTGGGTGTCGAGTGGGCCGTCCAATCCCATCTTAAGAAGGCTAAAGACGCCAAAGACGGCAAGGCCAAGGGCTTCAAGGGCAGCGTTGCCAACATGAGCCTTGGTGGTGGCAAGTCGAAGACTCTTGAGGACGCTGTCAATGCTGGTGTTGAGGCTGGTCTTCACTTCGCCGTTGCTGCTGGTAACGACAATGCCGACGCCTGCAACTACTCCCCTGCTGCCGCTGAGAATGCCATCACTGTCGGTGCCTCGACCCTTCAGGATGAGCGTGCTTACTTCTCCAACTACGGAAAGTGCACTGACATCTTCGCTCCGGGTCTCAACATTCTCTCCACCTGGACTGGCAGCAAGCACGCTGTCAACACCATCTCCGGAACCTCCATGGCTTCTCCTCACATTGCTGGTCTGCTGGCCTACTTCGTTTCTCTGCAGCCTGCTCAGGACTCCGCATTCGCTGTTGATGAGCTTACTCCTGCCAAGCTCAAGAAGGATCTCATCTCCATTGCCACCCAGGGTGCCCTTACTGATATCCCATCTGACACCCCCAATGTAAGTCTCATTGTCCATTTTGGTATAATGAAAAAAGGAAGATGCTAACTGGTATTCCAGCTTCTCGCCTGGAACGGTGGTGGTACCAACAACTACACCCAGATCGTCGCCAAGGGTGGATACAAGGCCGGCAGTAACAACATTAAGGACCGCTTTGACGGACTGGTCAACAAGGCCGAGAAGTTGCTCGCTGAGGAGCTTGGAGCTATCTACAGTGAGATCCAGGATGCTGTTGTTGCATAGATGCAAGACAAGACTCATTTAGAGAGACATAACTAGTTTCGTTTATGGCAGGGTATGGGAATTGGCTAACCGAACACTGGCGCTGGTATTAGTTTGTTGCTTTTTTTTTTTGTATGACGGAGAAGCTGATGCATTGACTGCATTGAGTACATTATCCTGACACGGTTTATTTGGTCTTTATTATTATAGTATACATGTCCACAACAATGTTTGACATCCTATCTAGAGATACATGTGCTTGCTTTTGAACAGACTGTCAACTTGATTCTATGACTGTTCTCCACGGATGATCGTGGCTTGGTTTTGGTGGTTGCCGTAAAGGCCCATGTTGGCCACCAATTAGGTAGGAGTGAGCTCCCCGCCGGGCTCAATCCAACCACTGCACGAGATCGTTCAGGTTCTCATGAGAAGACGAGCTAGGAGGCCGATGACCCGGCAGCGCCTAGAATAACCGTATGGCTACCAACGATATATTCAATTAATTGCTTAGGGTGTTTCACCACGATTAAGAGCACATCAATAAGCCTTCTTTTATTTATGCTACTTCAACTTATGGCATCAAGATATTCTGCGTAGGCAAGAGATCTTCATTACCTGAAAACAGTTCGCGAGATATATATATATATATATATTTATGCTATTCATGCGGAACGAGAATTAACTATACCAGAACAATAAATAAAATAAAATAAAAAAGTAAAAATAAATACGAAAGTGAGAGTCTAGTGATGTTTATGTCAACGTTCATCTATGTATATTCATGGAAGAGAGTCTCAGGGATTACGCTTTATCTGTAGGTTGGCTTTCATAGAACTGAATGACGGGTAGATGTGTATGTACAAGTACACACGGATGCCATGTGGACAATCACACCCAATGGGCGGGTTGTCAGTTTCTGGACCGGAAAGGAAACGTTCCATGGGAGAGATTGGGATGAGTGAGTGAACTACGAAGTATGATGGCTGGTGATGAGTGATGGCCACGATCATCCGTTCGGGTTGAGGCGTTCCACATCTACGGTACGTTTCGTCACATGAATCCGGGAATCTTGGCCTGGTATGCTGATTTTCGCAAGAGATCCACCCGGTGCCCGGTATGCTACATTTTCTCAGTGGACTGGCTCGGTCTACATTTCCTCTTTCAGAGGTGGTTTCTCTGATGGAGCTTTTATTCTTGGCCCTGATTCACCCCCGACCTACTCCACGGGGCTAAACTACATGGGGATTCTGCGACAACTTTCCAGGTTCTTATGAACAGATCGTTTGAAGGGAATGGATGCTATGGTAGATCCCTATGTCCAGAAATGCTAGAGCTCAGCCATCCCTGCGCCCACGCTATGCCACGAACTAACGCCTGCGCAGTCCTTACGCCAAAATTTCAAAATACAGAAGAGACCCAAAAAAAAAAAAAAAAAAAAAAAGATAAACGAGAAGGGAGAGAGGTGAATGTGTCTCTGACACCCAGGAGCCCTAGTGTCAAGCCCGCCCCTTCTTTTCCTCGTCATCCTCTTCCTCATCACTGCCCGTGTCTTGATCGTCAAAGTCCATGTCTTCGTCCGAGTCGCTTCCTCCGAACACGTCATCGTCTGCATCGCTCTCCGCCCAGAAGTCCGAATCGTCCTTCTCTACGGGCTTAACTGTTGCCGGTTGGTGGGTTGGCATGACGAAGCCTTCGGGGATGTCTTGCTTCGAGATCTCGACGTCCTTTCGAACGCGCGACTTGTATTCCTCGGGTTCCTTCCGCAGCGTCACGCCGGCGTCGACGTTGGCGGGGGACGACACTTCCGCGTCGTCTAGTAACGAGAGGATGGAGATCAAGACAGATTCAACACGTTGAGCAGGGGACCATCGCTCCGAGGCCAGCTCGCCCGACATTTCATCTTCGCCTGGTGCGTGGAGGATCGAGATGCAAAGTTTCCCGTCGGGATAGATGTTGGGGTGGTATAGAGGGCGTCGAAAGGCGAACTCTATGGGTGACGATGTCGAGTCAGTCGTTGCTACGAGTTCTGGAGCCATGGGTTGACAGTGCTGCTTACCTGGGGGCGAAAACGGATAGTTTTTGGGGAATTTCATGGACGCCTTGAAATAACCGCCGTAGTACAAGGAGTCAGGGTTGAGGGCGATTAACCCGATCGTCCACCTGAAGATGTCCTCGTTTTCGAGCTGGCAGAAAGAAGACTGTTAGCTACGGCCAGTCATACGACATGTAGGACCCTAGTAAGTCTTACCTCGATATTGACCCATGGCTCCTTGGCGAGGGTCTTGTATTCGTTCATCAAGATACGTTCGGCCATAGTGGCAGCGGCGGCGGCGGCGGAGGAGGAGGAGGCGGCGAAAGAACGATAGGCTGGCGGCGACTAAGGAATGGCAGTGGGACTATTCTTGAGGGTTGGAGACACCAGATCACTGTAGAGGCGTAGTCGGGTTATTACTAGGGTATCCCCAGTGCAGGATGATGTTCTGTCAATGGGCGGGGACGATCGTTCTGAGAGGCGATAAGATTCCGCCCTTTTTCAACGTCTGCACACTAGTCTGGGCGTGGCAATCCCCACGGAAAGTTCCGGAGTGGCGCTATGGAACAATTGGGACGTTTCTGTGGGTTCCTGTACCCGCTTCAGGGGAAGGAAAAAAAAAAAAAAAAAAAAGTCAAATCAAATAATGGAGGAAGACTTTCTTTGGTGTGAGATGGGTTTTATTACTAACTCCGGTGTTGTTACTTGTTGCTCGTGAGTTTCGAACCACTTTTTTTTTTATATATTTTTTTTTGGCCCTTTCAACTGTGTTGTTCTCCACTTTGTCTATCGGTAGTGTTCCTCCCCAAACCTATCTATGAGACATAGTGACTACTATCTTAGTAGTCTCGTCTACTAGTAGTAGGCCAGTCGCCTGCGTTCCTGGGGACCTGGGCAGGTACCTCGACCTCACTGCATTTCATTGGTGTACAGGATCAACATCACCCGAGGCGCAACAAGGTGGAGAGGTATTCCTTTCAAGTGGGGTTTTCACCGACGCCCGGTTCGCTTGAAGCCGACGGAGTCGCAGCTGTCCATCCTCTAAGGGAGCTAGTACGAGCGAAGGGATCCCGCTTATCTCGGAGATAGAGATACGAATTACCCAATTCGGGAGTCGGGGAAGAAGTTTTTGAGTCAGAGCTCTCTTTTTCACCCTTCCTGCAGGTTACATTGCCATCAAGTGACTCACCACCGTAATCTATCCCCTGCTGACGCTTGGTTGGTGACTGATGACACGGAAGCACGAAATGACGAATCTTATAGGAAGGACGATACTCTCCATACTCTAAGGAATATAGCCAGTAGCTGGGCATCTCTTTTGGAACAATGGAACAAACAGGTCACCCACGATCCCTGGGCCTGAAGGTGTGACAGATATGCAAAGTAGTAGGAGTATGCAGGAAAAAAAGCACAGACATGGACTCCCCAGGTCCAAGGTTCAATCCGACTAGCCGGGTGTGGAGGGGGGTACATCCATACATATCGTACCTATCTCGGGTGGAAGTGATCGATATGGAGAGAGAAGAGAAAACCGGGAGCGCATATCATCTACTAGAGCACGCTAGAGAGAGCTTGATATTTTTTTGAGTTATATACGATACCCTGAATTGACCTTGAGAAGGGTAGAGGCGGTGATATCATAGGTCCAGAAGGGCTGTCATGGGAGCAGCTGCAGCCATCAGATAATAACTTTTCGAGTCGATCGATCGTGTTCAAGTTTTCTCACGCAACCTCTGTCACCAATAGGCTAAGATCTCCCTCCCCCCCTCCTCCGTCCGCCAGTCGTCAATTGCCGTCAAGAAAGAGAAAAACGACGTGACTCGAACAACATCAATTAATTAATAAATAACCGCCGGTCTGGGTTCTGGATCCCTCGCACCAGGCGGTGGGGAACGGACTAACAGTAATAGCCTAGGGAATCCACCCTGGTTAAGTTCGCTCGTTTTCCCCCCCCCGTCCCACTTCTTCCTAACTGCTCTCTTCTTGGCTTTCTTTCTGTCCTTCCGTCATCCGTCGTTTTCCCTTTCCCTTCCACCTTTTCTTTCCCTGATGAGCTTGGGTTCACCTTGATTCATCTGCCCACTCACCATTGTTACTGACGAAACTTGGTAGGGCTTCCATGGTGCCCTCGCAATTCGTCATCTCTTGTCAATTACTTTCTTTCGTTCGCTTTTCTCCCGATTGCCATGCTAGGCTTGTCTGGCAACACAACCTCCGCAGACTGCCAATAACGCGAGTGGCTGTTGTATAGCCTATCGTCCTGTCGTCCTCCTCCCAGCGGGTCTCTGTCGCCAGGACCGGAACGCGAGGCGGATGATCTACCCCGGTCTCTCAATTCTACAAGTGATTTTCGATCGTCCGCGGGTCAGAAATGACGCCGGAATGCCATGGCCCCATTTGGGCCATCGATGACGTTTCCCGTTGCTTTCAGCGCAAGTATGATCGGCACCCTTCCCCAATTCACCTGCTACATGTGATTGCAAGAGTCGTATACTCACCATTGTCAATCGCAGTTATCTACAAGTAATTTTGCCACTTACCGCATGTGGGCTCTCGCTCTTATTCATCGTACTTCGCGTCTCCTATCGTTATTTTGTGTCTCGAAAAGGTGTCTCGTACAAGATCCTTGTGGATAATGCTGCGGAAACTGGTGCCCCAGGGGCCGAGGAGCATGGGGAAGAAACGGATCGGATGTTATCCAAGGCCGCAGAAGAGGAATTGTTACAATTTGAAGTCGATCGTCCCCGAGGCGAAATCGCTCTGATAACGCTCGAAGTAGTTGCGGTTCTGGGAGAAGTGGCCGTCTTCATCGCGGTGCTATGGACAAATACCTGGGGCGACAGCGGTAAACTCTCTGCGATAGCGAAGCTAGTTTCGTGGAGTTATATCCTATTTTTGACATTGGTGCGCTTGCTTCTCTCTACTCTGGACTTGCATCTACTTCCCAGGATTTGGAATCACACCGCGTGTCTGTACGGGCTTCAGTGGT